TCACGGCACCAGCAGCTGGTACAATTACACCACAAGAACATACACGGTCAATTGAATTGATGGGCCATTTAACAAATTAAGCATATTAAGGGCCGTAAACTTATCTTAACACTTAACACTTTTACAGTATGTATTTATAAAAACGTAAGGAACATACAATACATATAGATATATATATATCAGTCTTTCTTAGTTTAAAAATTCATCTCTTACATAAGGGCTAGGGGCAATTTTAAATTTATTTGGCCAAAAAAAAGTATGTTGTAGCTAAATCTAGCCACCAAAGGGCTCAAACGGCAACACTGCTTGCTTCTCTTTATGCAATTGTTTGAGAGATTCATTGTATACCGCTAGATGAGTTAAGTGGCTCATAGTTTATTCATGAACACATACACAAATTCAGCGCCTCTGCAGTTTTGCTTTGCGGGCAAGACCGTCTGCTACGTTAAATATGTACGTGCAGGCATGTGAAAAATGGTAGGGGATTACATTTGAACCAGCTTTGGCTATTTTTCTTTTGTTTCTTTAGTGTTTATTAATATTTAAAAAAAGATATCTCATTATCTTACATAAACCATAGATGTAGAAATTTCGAACTTTGTAGAAAAATTAAGAAAATTCGATAAAATTTTACTACAAACTTTTCAATAAGAATTTTGAGAAAATTCTAGTTTGCAGTTTTATACCCAATTAAATTATAGCTAAGAAAGTAAAAGTCTAATTTGGCTAAGAATTCGCGTTGATTTTTGATAACTTTTTTTTGGGGGATGGTGTTATTGTTATGGGTGAACCCGTCAGCGTGCAATGGGGTATAGTCATTGCGCTGGGTATGCAGTTACAGTTGCATGGCTATACTCAATCCCGACTCTTGCGTCCTCGTTCGCGCACTCTGGGCAACGTGAGCAACCCATGTGCGAGATGCGGTAACCAATCCGAGTGGAGCCTTGGGTCACGGCAGAAAGAGAGGGAGCTTCGGTGGGGCCACTCTGACTTATTCGGTTTAAGGGCTCACTGAAGTCTGCAGCGTCTGTTCACCAGTAGGTGCGGCTGCAAGCGGGTGTCTGCTTGGAGCAAGCGGCTCGCTATATAAAC